GGAGGTATCTGGCTGGGGAGTGGGAGGTGTGACCACCCAGCAGGAAAGTGGTTCTGAGAGCGTTTACTGCCTGAGCTCCTGCATCCCACCAGGCACCATGCGGGTGAGTAAGAGCCTGAGCACCCAGGATGATGCTTCCAGGTTTAAAGATGTCCCGAGTTTCAAGAGAGGAAGTTTATGGGTATCTTCTCCAGCCTGGAGGATGCACATTCTTGTTTAGGAACAAACCTGTCTCCCCTCTTTACTCCCTTAACACAGTGAGTGAAGTGTGTGCTGGAACCACTTCCAGGAACAGGTTACATTTTGAAAGCATGCAACATTGCCCAGACTGCATACTCAGCAAAGGCGAAAGATGCTTCTCTGGACCATGAGCAATCCAACCTCAGAGCGAGTGACAATGTGGCAGATCCGGGTACATCTGAATGGACGCCCCAGATTCTCCCTCCCCATACTGCCCACAGCAGGGGCCCTCGGGAGACATCTGAGGTTAAGCTTGCTCTCCAACCCCTTCCCATGCAGAACCCCTAATCCAAGCTTCTCCCACCCCAGCGGCAGGGACACCTCAATTTCTCCATCTGCACAATGAAGACGTTTGAATAAATAACAGTTTCCAGTCTCTGATTTGTGGACTGATTACATCACAAACACCTGATTCATGAATCAGACTCTCTGAGGATGGTCCCCAAAATGTACATTTTTAAAGAACACTCAAGCAGTTCTGAAAAACAGTAAGTTTGGGAGGTGCTGAACTAGATGAACTTTGAAGTCTCAGAGGATTACGAATACAGGACTCACAGGGTTTACGCCCCTCAACGAGTTGGAGCCATTTGTCACCCAAACTTCAACTTAAAAACTGTTTAAATCACTTCAACCCCCATCCAAACTATATGGAAGAGCCCACAGACCTACCCCAGGGTACTGTGAATTCCGTGTGGCACATGTTCTCATCTCCACCTTTGACAAGGACTACTTGCTTTGGCTAAATTCTTGTTCTTTGCTCTAATCTTGTGGCTGTTTCTTCATTTCTGCTGTTGTCAATTATGGCAGCTTGGTGATTTCTACACACAAACTAATCAATCACAGTAGGCCCGTGGGTTGCACTTTCCTCAAGGCTTGGGGAGGTAGCAGGGCACTTACTGCAGGAACACGAGCAATTTGGACTGAGGACCAGGCAAACCTGTCCTCTTGGCCCTTTGGCCAGAGACAAGGTATTCAGCAAACCTCTGCTTTGCTTTTCCCTTGTGTGGTGCCAGTGGGAGAGAACACGGTCGACTGCAGTAACCAGGTGGACGACAGGGACAGGGAGAATTAGAAACGGATGTGAGCTCAGGCAGGACTCAGACAGAACCGTGGGAGAGGATGAATGGTCACAGCAGGGAAAGCACAAGGTGGGCTGGTAAGGCCCTGAAGTCTGCACCTGGTGGAGCGGCTGATCGAGTCAGGGAGTGGCTGGAGATGAGGGCTGGAGACCCAGACGGAGGAGAGAACTATGCACTTGCGTCCGGGTACCTGTGGGATCCGGCAAACGTCCTCCCTGAACGTTTATTGTATTAAATGATGGTTGAACTGGGCATCATCAGTTTACTTCGAGAAGCCTTAGATTTGGGGCAGAACATCAGGAGATGGAGGGGAGCGCCCCAGTCTCTCCAGCACACAGATCAGAGTTAGACACATTGCGAGCCAAATTATCCAGCTTGCTGAGAGCAGAGTCAGAGGCTGTCCAGAGCAGACTGCGAGGTATGTCTGTTTTCCTATTTCCACAAACAAAACTCCAATTTTCTTCTGGTTGTTTCCCAGGCCAACCACCCTAGGGTGTTCCCTAAGTCACTGGGCAAATTTTGGGGTTCTCAGTGTTTTCCAGTCTCCTCTGGCTGCTGAACCTCCTGGGGAAACTTCATATCTAAGGCTCATGTACTGACACAGAATTACCTGGGAAATTAACATCCACAGCCGCCTCACTGACGCAGAGTGAGTGTCATGCTCTGCGCTCTGCTGCTGCACTTGGAGTCCCTGAAATGACAAAGCCAAGTTCTCAGCCTCACTTCAACCCCAGCCCAGGCTCTTCCCAGGTTCCTCCCTAAACTCGGATGTTCAGGGGCAGGAGGGAATCATGGTTTCCTCACTGTGGGGTCACCAGCTCTTTCCACTTTGCCTGACACATTGTGGGGAGTTATACCTATCTGATGAATAAATGAATGAGAAACGAAAGATCAAACTGTGTTTGGGACTCTTGCAGGTAGCATGCGAGGACGGAGGATGGTAAAAGACGAAGAAAATGCCTATGGTAAGAACACATCTCGCAAGGCGTTCCTGCCCCCAGGGGTGAGCTCTGGGTGATGAGGGGCGAGCCAACTCCAGACTGACCAGAGACAAGCCCCACCTGCACGTTAGCTGGACCTCTGCCCCTGCCCTGCTGGGAGACATTAAGTTCTGTGACTAGCCTGCGCCTCCAATCCCAAAGTGGGAAATGAGGACCATGGATCTACTCGGATCTCCGCAGAGGAGGATGGAGAAGGGATCCAATCATGGACTAGAGGGAACACGATTTGCCAGGCAGATGGTGTTAGAGAACAGGATGGAAGGTTAAACCGCTGTCTTCTTAGGCAGCAGGTTTGAGAGAGAGGAGAGGGAGGAGGAGGGAAAGGAGGAGGGAGGGAAGAAGAGAGCTTGTCTCAGCTCACCCCCCACAACCCTGTGAGAAACAGTCTGTTTCCATTTATTTTTTTTTAAAGATTTTATTGTTTCCTTTTTCTCCCCAAAGCCCCCCGGTACATAGTTGTATATTCTTCGTTGTGGATTCTTCTAGTTGTGGTATGTGGGACGCTGCCTCAGCGTGGTTTTGATGAGCAGTGCCATGTCCACGCCCAGGATTCAAACCAATGAAACACTGGGCCGCCTGCAGCGGAGCGCGCGAACTTAACCACTCGGCCACGGGGCCAGCCCCAATCTGCTTCCATTTTTGCAGAAGACGTTTAACTCTTAGAGTAAGCACCTTCACAGGGAACACAGCTGGCAGATGGCGGGGCTGTAGCTCAAACCCAGGTGTCTGGGACTCTGGGCAGCCCTTCCACACGAGGCCTGCTGCCTTTCCTCCTGGGATGGCACCTGGGAGAGTATCGCAGAGGCCACTGAAGTCGTGAAATAAGCAACAGCTCTACACGCTGTGGGTGACCAGAGGTCACATCAGATGCAGCCCATGTGGCCTGGAATTGTAAAGGCGCGTCCTCTAGAGAAAAGCCCACGGGGTGTTGGAGCATCCCCAGGCGCATGTGGTGACGACAAAGAGGAAAGACATAGACGGGTAAAGATCCCCGGGAGTCCAAAAGTCTCTAACCAGATCACCTCAGTGAAGGCTGGCCTTGAAAAGCAAAGGGTGAGGCACTATTGCTCCCCTTTGTGCGAAAGGCGTCCAGCAGGTCCAGGTCAGCAGGCTCAGTCGCTTCCAGGCGTGCGGCTCACGAATCATTGTCCGCGCAGGTTCCGAGGACGACCCGCAGGAGCCCAGGCTCAGGCTCATCCTGGCCGGGAGGACGGGGCCGGCAAGAGCGCCACGGGCAACAGCATCCTGGGCCAGCGGCGCTTCCTTTCGAGGCTCAGCGCCGCGCAGGTGACCACCACCTGCGCTGTGGGCAGCTGCCGCTGGGCCGGCTGGCACCTGGACGTCATCGACACCCCGGACCTGTTCGGCGCCGAAGACGCCAGGACAGAGCCGGGCTGCGGCGAGAGGGGCCGCTGCTACCTGCTCTCGGCGCCCGGGCCGCACGCCCTGCTCCTCGTCAGCCAGCTGGGCCGCTTCACCGCCCAGGACCAGCAGGCCGCGCGCCGGCTCAAGGCCATGTTCGGCGAGGGCGCGGTGGCTCGCACAGTCCTGCTCTTCACGCACAAGGAGGACCTGGCCGGGACCTCGCTGCAGGACTACGTGCGCTGCACCGACAACCGCGCGCTGCGGGAACTGGTGGCCGAGTGCGGCGGCCGCGTCTGCGCCTTCGACAACCGCGCCAGCGGCACGGAGCGGGAGGCCCAGGTGGCCGAGCTCATGGCGCTGCTGGAGCGGCTGGTGCGCGCGCACGGGGGCGCGCCCTACACCAACGACGTGTACGGCCTGGCGCGCGCCCTGGGCTGCGCGCGCCCCGAGGAGCTGCTGCGCAGGGTGGCGGAGAGTGTGGCGGCCCGAGTGCAGAGGCGACGGGGACGCGGGCTGCTGGCGGCGCTGTGGGGGCGCCGGAAGGCGCCGTGGAGCCGCGTGAGGCTGGTCGTGGCCGCGCTGCTGGGGGCCCTGGGCCTGCTCTTCCTGCTGCTCGCCAGGCGCCGGGCGGACGCCTTGCGGGAGGTCGACCCGGGCTGACAGACCTTATAGAGGCCTTGACCCATCCACTGATGAGCACATTCGTGCCTGGTGTTCTGTGCCTTCAGTGCTCACAGGCCCTCCTTCCTTCCCCCACCTCGCCCTCATCTAACAGCTTCAGAGTCCTGCCAGGTCCCATGTCCCTCCCCAGACCGTCGCATGGGACCTGGCTCTCTCTGAGCTCTCCTCTCACTGAAGACAAACAGCTCTTGTTGCTTTAGCTTACTTCGCCCTGACCCCAGGCTGCCCTTCCCTTCATGGAATTGGCTTTGCTCTGAAAGCAGATGAGGAACGCTTGTCCTCTCATCCCCTGGAGTCCCCACAGGACCAGGGCGAGAGCCAACACAGAGCCTCAGGACAAATCGCTTATTCGAATTGACTCTGAACTGAATAAATAAGTGTACCGACATCACGTTGTGTCAGAGGAAATCAGTATTTGTAGATGTTTGCTCATCTGCCTCATATGCCCATTGAACAAGGACACTACTCTGCCGTCCCTAACCCTATCTGCAAAATCCATGCACCCCAGTGCAGACGCACACCGCACACACCTTCGGGTGTGTGATCCTAAGAAGTCAGCAGCTTGGAGTAGAACCGCCCGTCTGTACCGGTGGCAGAATGATTCCCGGTGCGTCCTCCTTCAGACTCCTCAGCAGCTTGATGGCAGACGATTCCACAAGTCCGAGGAAACTACGTGTGACTAGAGACTCGATTGCCCAGGAGCCACTGAGACCCTGCAGAGAGTCTGCTTCTGAAGCGGAGTTTTCTCACTAGCCTACACTCTCACAGGGTAAAGATATGCTTTTTCAACTCAGGGATAAATAAAAGAATGTAAGAAGTCAGAAATTTTCTTTTATTTCAATGCCAAAATAAAGGCAAAACAGCTCTTTGTTGGCTGAGAACTGGTGCTAAGGTGGTGAGTATGGAGTCATCTCCTTCTGTCCCACGCGTATCTGGGGGAGTCAGCTCTCTGGTCTAGGTGATGTGAGCCGGGTTAGCCTATGTGCTCAGTCCTAACTGTGCCTCCCCATCTCTCCACTCATACTCGCTTTGTCCCCAACACCACCACCGTCGCACCCAGTCAAGCACATCTGGGGTACTGCTGTGTAATTCCAGATCTCTTCCCTGTAGCATCCTCCACCCGTTGCCTTCACAGCCAGAGAATCTCAGGTTACTGATGACCTCAGATCACTAAAGAAACACATACAAACGGAAGGTAATCTGCAACAGCTGAGCACATCTTCGAGCGAGAGGCCCACAAGCCATTCATGGAAGCCTTTGCAAACACCAACAGGAGGAACGCCAGAGCCAAATGCTGAGACTTGAAATTTCCTCACCTGCACAGGTCATTCTGGATTAAGGGTTTGTGCACAGATCCCAGGAGAGGCTGTGATAGGGAACCGTGATTTTGGTCTTGTTCACTTTTCAGTGTACTCTTGTGATGGACAAACAGAGAAAACCTCCGCCATTTTCACTCTGTTGAGAAGGGGATGGTCACTGGTGAAAATAAAGGTGAAAAAGGATGGCAAAGTGTCCCATGTGAGCAACGGAGGGTTTTAATTCCATTTTTGCTCTTCAGCTGGGGAGGAACGGAGCCCAGGGAATTTCCAGAGACGGTGACTGAACTTCTGGGAGTGTGGGAAGGACCACTCCAGGGACCCCACAGGGAAGGCACACCCCACTAAGGCTGCGATCCAGGACACACCGGGGAAGAGAGTGTGGTTGCAGGCAGTGTGTTAGGACGGCTGTCTATGTATATGTGGGATATATGGAAAAGGATCAAGGATGCCATAAAAAGTATCTGAAACAAATTAATGGATAAAAATAACATGTAGTGTTGGAATAACTGGCTATCCACATGCAAAATGATGAATTTGGATCCCTGTCTCACACTATACACAAATATTAGTACAGTCACTGGTCGCTTAACAATGGGATATATTCTAAGAAATGGGTCATTAGGTGATTTCCTCATTGTGTGAACATCATAGAGGGCATTTACACAAACCTAGATGGTATAGCCTACTACATACCTAGGCTCGATGGTGCTAATCTTATAGGACCACTGTCATATATGTGGTCCCTTGTTGACTGAAACGTCATTATGCAGCATGACTATACAGACAATGGATCAAAGAGCTAACTATAAGAGTTAAAACTATAAGACTCTTAAAAGAAAACGTAGATGTAAATCTTCATGACCATGGATTAAACAATAGTTTCTAATATATGACACCGAAATCACAACCAACCAAAGAAAAATAGATAAACTGGATTTCACTGGAATTGAAAACTTCTGCCCATCAAAGAACACCATCAAAAAAAGTAAAAAGACAACCCACAGAAAGGGAGAAAATATTTACAAATCATATATCTGATAAAGATGTAGTATCCAAAATATATAAAGAACTCTTATAACTCCACAATAAAAATAGAAATAACCCAATTTTAAAGTGGACAAAAGATTTGAATAGATGTATCTCCAAAGAAGATATACAAATGGCCAATAAACACATGAAAAGATGCTCAACACCTTTAGTCATTAGGGAAAGGCAAATCAAAACCAAAAAAGATACCACTTCATAGTCACTGGGATGGTTATCATTTAAAAAAAAGAGAGAGAAGGGAGGGAGGGAGGGAGGAAGGAAGGAAGGAAGGAAGCAAGGAAAGAAAAAATAACAAATACCAGTGGGGATGTGGAGAGATTGAACCTGTATACATTGCTGGTGAGGATGTGAAATGCTGCAGCCACTGTGGAAAACAGAGTGGCTCTTTCTCGAAAAGTTAACTGTGGAGTTACCATGTGAATCAGTAATTCCACTCTTAGGTTCAGATCCAAGAGAACTGAAAACATATGTTCATACAAAACTTCCACGTGAATGGTAAAACAGTATTTTTCATAATAGCCAAAAAAGTGGAAGCAACCCAAATTTACATCAACTGATGAATGGGTAAACAAAATAAGGTATATCATCCAATGGAATATTATTTAGCCATAAAAAGGAATGGAGTACGGATACATGGTACAGCATGAATGAACCTTGAAAGCATTATACTAAGTGAAAGAAGTCAGACACTAAAGACCACAGAAGGTATGATTCCATCTATATGAAATGTGCAGAAACTGGAGTGAGCTCATGAGAGTGTCCTTAAAAGGGTTTTAGCTTGTTTGTAAACATTTATATTCAGCTTCACTTTTTAAGCTTTCCTCCCCTCTTCTGGGTTGAATTTTGTCCCCCTAGAAAAGAAATCTTGAGGTCCTAACCCCCAACCTCTGACTGTGACGAATGTGACATTACTTGGAAATAAGGTCTTTGTAGATTTCATTGTTAAGATAGTGCCATTAGGGTGAGCCTTGATCCATTATAACTGGTATGTATATCAGAAGAGGGGAATTGGGACACACACACACACCCAGAGGGAAGACAGTCATGTGAAGATAGAGGCAGAGATTGCAGTTCTACTGCCACAAGCCAAGGAACACGTGGGGTCACCAGAGGCTGAAGAGGCAAGAAAGGACCCTCTCCTACAGCCCCCAGGGGGAGCATGGCCCTGCCAACACCTTAATTTTGGACTTCTGGCCTCCAGAACTGTGAGAGGACAAATTTCTCTCATTATAAGCCACTCAGTTTGTTGTACTCGGTTACGGCAGCCCTAGGAAACTGCCCCTCCTCCACGTTGTGATTCCCTCTAGTTAACCCTGTGATTCCCTATAGTTAACGCTATAATTACATGTTGTTGGGAGATGAAATGGCAGGTCATGCATAGGTGTGGGTGGGTGGGGACAACAAACCTCAACAAGTTTACAAGAATTGAAATCATACAGAATATGCTCTCTACCCACGGTGGAGTCAAGCTAGAAATCGATAGCAGAAAGACACCAGAAATGTCTTCACTGCCCCATAGCAGCATCGTGACTCTAAACAATCATCAGAATCTGAGAGAGGCCTTGTTGTTTTCCGTCCGCTGTCCAGTTCTACGTCTGGAAAGGGACTTTTCTGGTCTTGGGAAACACTCATGACACGGTCACAGAAGATGGAAAAGTAAGGGGTAAATGGCCATTTCTCCTTTCTTTCTCCCCGTGGCTGAAGCCAGTCTCCTTTGTTGTTGAAGAAAGGAGGGGATCATATTCTCCCTACCACACGTCTGTCTCCCTGGCTCCACCACTCACCCACTCCTTTTCTACTATGAGTGCGGATGACTTTACTCAAGAAGCAGCAAATTCAGTCTCTACTCGCCCTTGGCCAGCTTCTGCCCACCAGTTACAGCATAGCTAACCCCGTGGGCATGATCAGCTGCAACTAGTATAACGTGGCCACTTGGTGAAAGTTATGAAAGTGACTACCTGGTCAGTGGTAGACATCTTCCAGGCTGTGCTGAGAATCGCCTCACAGAACACTGGGAACACCACGGGTCAGATCCCTGAGGCATTGCGAGTAGCGTGCTCCTCGGTCCGCTGGTAGTGATTTCAGGGACTCCAGCTTTACTTGCAGACAGGGGAGGGACTGCTATCTTTTTCTGACAAAAGGAGAAACTGAGGCCCGGAAAGCTTAGATGATGTACACTAAGCCGCCCACTGTGCTGGATCTGGAACCATAATCCACGTCTTATAGTTCATCCTCCTTCTGTCCCTCCGTGCCCCTCTTGAGCCCCCACCCCACCCACCCAATGATGAGATTGTGGTAAATATGGAAATGAAACCACAAGTCAGAGTTTGGAGGCAAGAAATATGAATAAGGAAACATAATTTCTCTTCCCTTGTCTGTGTTCAATCTTAAGAAAAAAAGGAAATACACCTTATTGAGAAAGGAGTGTTGAAATCTCCAACTGTAACTGTGGATTTGTCTATTTCTGCATCATTTCTCTCAGTTTTGCCTCTTGAATTTTGAAATTCTCTTGTTTTTCTAAAGGTCTGTTACTTAGGAGGTGATGCACATTGAGCATTATTTTGTCCTGCGCATGAATTAACCTATCTGTCATTATCAAAGGTCCTTCCCTATCCCTGGTGTGGAGATGGTGTGGTTCTGACCCTGCTTCGTCTGAGATTCGTATAGCCACTGCCGGTTTCATGTGCTTGATCTCTGCACGGTATCTTTTTATTCTCCTACTTTAATCTCTCTGGGTCTTTGTATTTACAGTGGGAATTTCTTTAGAAAGCATGCATTTGGGTGTTGCTTTTTTATCCAGTCTGACAATCTGTCTTATAATTTGAAAGTTTAGACAATTTACATCTAGTATGGTTATCAGCATTGTGTTAAAATTCACTATCTTGCTATTTGTTTCTATTTGTTTCATCTGTTTGTTTTTTCTGGTGATTTTTTAAGATTCCATTTTAATTTCCATTACCGCTTTATTAGCTGCACCTCCTTTTATTTTCTTAGTGGTTTCTCCACAATTTACAATGTGCACTTTTAACTTATTGTATTCTACCTCCAGTGAATGTCACATCACTTCACATACTCTGTAAGATCTTCATAACATTACACTTCTACTTCCTCCATCCTATCTTCTGCGTTATTGGTGTTATAAATTTGACATTCACACAAAATAGAAACAACAATATATTCTTATTTTGCTTTCAAGAGTCAGTTATCTTTTGAAGAAATTTTTAAATAATAAAAAGAATCTTTTATATTTACCCATCTATTTACTATTTTTGGCCTGTCATTTTGTTGTCGAGATCCCACTTGTCATCCACTTTTATTTCCATCCACCTGAGCCATCTTACAGATCACTCCTGAGCAGCCTGTTGTTCAATGTCTGGAAACAGTAGTTTTAATATATTACATATACATAGTTTCCCGGTTGTCTATGGGAGGAGGGTAAGTAACAATCCTCGTTACTCCATCACGGCCAGAAACAGAAGATCCTCCCTCATTTCTTGTCTTGCAAAGTGTTTATCAAAGACACTAGACATTTGTACTATTGACTTTCCCACATTCTGAACTTTGCTGCTCGCATCCTCATGATATCATTTAATGTATTCCTCTATCTCATACTTTTCTTAAAATGGAAGTTAGTGGTGGTTGATTTGATCAGACAGATAGGAATCAAGCTTATTTTTTTTCACAATTTTACTCTTAGTTGGTGTTTTATGTTGCCGTCAGGGGGCCCTTTTTATGTTAGCACTCATTGATGATCATTGCATAGATGTATTACTTAATAGGTATTTCAAAATGGTGATAGTCTATTCTAATATTTGTTTTTCCTTTAGTGGCTAGAATATTTCTATTAGGATATTCTTACCCTCTTCACTTATTTAGTAACGTGAAGTAGTTCATGCAGGAAAGGCAGGATAAATGCTTGATAAACCCCAGGATAAATTACAAATGAATAAAAGGTTTAAATGTTAGAAAAAAGGAAACCTCAAAAGTTCTAGAAGGAAACAGAAAAGTATTCCACTATACACTACACATGTGGAAGGTCTTTCTAACTATGACTCAAAAGCCAGAACACACAAATAAATGTGGTTGATTAATTTGCCTACATAATAGTGATATACATCTATATAACAAAACAAAGTAAAATATGAATGACAAACTAGACAATAATATTTGTAACTCACATGATAGACAAATGCCTAATCTCTCTAATATGGAGAGTTCCCAGGAAATTGAAATGAAAAGACCAGCAACCCATTGTAAAAAATGGACAAAGGATATGAAGAGAATTAACAGAAAAAAACTGATATCGAACATAGGAAAACACGCTTAATCTCACTCATATGGACAGAAATGCATATCAAACTGCACTTAGACATGATTACTCCCCATTAGGTGTTCAAGACCCAAAAGTATGAAACAGACAGCTGCCTTCATACTTCATTAGCCGAAACACAGGATGGCACAACCCATGTGTAGCAGACAATGCAACATTGTTTGACACAGCAAAGGTTGGAAGAACCCCAAATGACCATCAACTGGGACAGGTGAAAAAGAAACTCGGGTATAGCTACACAAAAGACTACTGTGCAGCGGGACAGAACAAATAAGGAGGCTCTCTACGTGCCAATGTGGAAAACGCCCACGGTGTGTTGTTAAGTGAAAAGAACAAGATATAGAGCCATAGAAATAGTATGCTACCTTTCATGCAGAAAAAGAATAAGTTTAGATTATGTACTCAGACTTGCTTATATTTGCAGAAAGAAACACTGTAAGTATATCCAAGAAAGAAAGTGGTTAATTTTAGAGGACTGTGGGAGACTCAAGTGGACAAGGTAAAGCCAAGATCTCTTAATATTTGCTTCTTCATAGTCTTTTATTGTAGAAACACATAACATCAGACATACCCTCTTAGCAGCTTTTAAGAGCGCGGTCCAGCATCGTTAACTGTAAGCACAATGCACAGCAGATCTCTCGAACTTCTTCACCTTGCGCGACTGAAACGCTCAGTCCATTGAACAGCAGCTCCCATGTCTCCCTTCCCCCAGCCCCTGGCACCCACCATCCTACTTATTGTTTCTGTGAACTTGACTACTTTAGATGCCTCATATAAGTAGAAAATGCAGTATTTGTCCTCTGTGACTGGCTTACTTCACTTAGCACAATGTCTTCAAGGTTCATCATATGTTGTAGCGTTGACAGGATTTCCCTCTTTTTTATTACTGAATAATATTCCACTGTGTGCATGTGTGTGTAAATATATATATATCACATTTTCTTTGTCCATTCCTCCATCAATAGACATTTAGGTTGCTTCCACCTCTTGGTTATTGTAAAAAACAACAGAATACACATTCTTCCCAGGCACACATGGAACATTCTCCATCATAGATCATATGGTAAGTCACAACACAAGTCTTAGCAAATTTAAAAAGATTGAAAACACAATGAGTGTCTTTTCTGACCACAATACTATGGAACTAAAAATCAGTAATAGGAGGAAAATGAGAAAATTCACACAAACATGAAAATTAAACAGTACACTCCCGATCAACCAGTGGGTCAAGGAAGAAGTCAAAAGAGAAATAAAAAATATTTTGAAATGAACAGAAATGGAAACACAATATACAAAAACTTATGGAATGCAGCAAAGGCGATTCTAAAAGGGAATGTTTTAGTGATAAATGCCTACATAAAAAAAGAGAAAGATCTCAGATAAACAACTTAACTTTACACCTCAACAAAGCAGAAAAAGAGGAACAAACTAAGCCTAAAGTTGGTAGAATGAAGGAAATGGCACAGAGCAGAGGTAAAATACAAACTAGAAGTATAATAGAAAAGATCAACAAAACTAAGAGTGGCTTTTTTTTTGAAAAGATAAGCAAAATTGACAAACTTTTAGCTAGATGAATTAAAAAATAATACATATAAATAAAATTAGAAATGAAAGAGGAAACATTACAAATGAGACCAGAGAAATACAAAGGATCATAAGAGACTACTATGAACAATTATATGCCATCAAGTAGATAAACTAAAAAAAAAAAGGAGAAATTCTTAGAAATATACAAGTAACAAAGACTGAATCATAATGAAATAGAAAATCTGAACAGACCAATAACAAGTAAGGAGACGGAAGCAGTAATCAAAAACCTCCCAACAAAGAAAAGCCAATACCATATAGGTTCACTGGTGAATTCTACCAAACATTTAAATAAAAATTAATACCAATTCTTCTCAAGGTCTTCCAAAAATTGAAGAGGAGGGAACACTTCCAAACTCATCTATGAGGCCAGAATAACCCTGACATCAAAACCAGACAAGGACACTACAAGAAAAGAAAACTACAAAGCCATATCCCTGATGAATATAGATGCAAAAATCCTCAACAAAATATTAGTGAACAAAATTCAACTGTTCATTAAAAGGTTCATACACCACAATCAAGTGGGATTTATCCATGAGATGCAAGGATGGTTCAACACATGCAAATCAAACAATGTGATACACCACATTAACGGAACTAAAGATAAAAATCACATGATCAACTTAACAGATGCCGAAAAGCAATCGACAAAAGTACAACATCCTTTCATGATAAAGACTCCCAATAAAGTTAATATAAAAAGAACTTCCCTCAACATAATGAAGGCCATATCTGACAAGCCCACAGCTAACATCATACTCAATGGTGAAAGGTTGAAAGCTTTTCCTCTAATTGGAGTAACACAAATATGGCCACTCTCACTTCTGTTCAACATAGTACTGGAAGTCCCAGCCAGAGCAATTAGGCAGGAAAAAGAAATAAAAGGCATTCAAGTCAGAAAGCAAGAAGTAAAATTGTCTCTGTTTGCACATGATATGATCTAATATATCTAATATATTACATCTAATATATCTAACATACTTTGCTGGATGCCCACATGAGGAGGAGTGCAATGTAACTGCTACGTGTGCTGCCAGGTTATGTGATAGTAACAGGTACAAGATTTTGCATTATACTAGCTTTTTCTGCACAAGAATAATGTGCCATCGAATGCAGAGATATGACCACTTTCTTAGCAGAAATTTTCAGATGTAGTATTTCTAGTGAAATCAGTAACTTCTTGAGCAGTTGTAGAGTGAAGTGCCCAGTGAGAGCCAATATTGGAATGAGTTTTAGAACTCCAGCTGTAAGAAACAAACAAGTCACTGATCTCAAGCTGCATGAGAAGCCACCTCAGAAGAGGAAATCACAAGGGCAAAAGAATAAGCTGTTATCAAAAACATCCACTGAAAAACAAAGGAAGGATGAGACTAAAAGTGCCAAACAGGAAGCACACCACAAAACATCTTCTCTCAGCAACATGAGACCCAGCATGAGATAGAGGGGAAAAAATCAAGAACCTAAAAATGAAACGGAAAGCAACCCAGCCACTGAGATAACAAGCAGCAGGTAGCAAACAGCTGGAACAGCCAGAGGGAGAAAAGGCAAAAGAGATAACCCCTCTCCAGGAGCTGGAAGATTTAGAATTGAGTCTTTTAAATAGTCCTAGAAATGGGGCTGGCCCCGTGGCTGAGCGGTTGGGTTTGCGCGCTGCACTTCGGTGGCCCAGGGTTTCCCCGGTTCAGATCCTGAGATCCTGGGCGTGGACATGGCACTGCTCATCAAGCCATGTGGAGGTGGCATCCCACATGCCACAACTAGAAGGACCCACAATGAAAAAT